GGAAACCAGGTCCTAGTGTGTGTCCATTAGTGTTTGAGTCGAAGGAGAGAGGAATGAAAAAACCTGAGAGCTGAGAGATCGGACATCACAAAACTACTACTAATCACTGTTGTCAATCCACCCATCCCATCACCTCATCATGAGCAGCTACTGTATTTCTTATTTGTTGATTAACTTTAAGTTCATGGTAGTTCTTGTTCTGCCTTTACTTCTTCCCATTAAAGAGTTATATAGTTTCTTTGAGCAATGAGCAAAGCAGATTAACATTTCTCAGATTATTTGCTCTTGATAGATGAGATTTGCAGAAGTTTTCCTTGTTATAGTGACAATACAGTATGACAATACAGTATCCCAAACTAGGATACTTCTACTGTAAAGGAGAGAGAAGTAGGGAAAATAGGTAAATATCAAGACTTTCCTGGACAAACTGGGTTTTGTAGTCCCTTTACTCAACATTGATCCTCAACCTTGTGCAAGGGCAGATCCCTTGCATGTAGTAAGCATTACAAGGTGTTTACTGAATCCTGGGCCACTTTGATAATTTATATACATCATTTACTTCCTCTATCTGGCTGAGATGTTCGGAAATTTTTCTCATATCATGCCTAGCTGTGTTTTTGTGTACTTTTATGTTCATTCACATGCTCTCCTCTGTGTTTTCAGCCTCTAATTAATACCTTTCCAAATATATGTACCAAGTTTTATTACAGAGCATTTCCTCCTTCCTTGCATTTAACTCTTGCCTCTTGAACAAGTTATGCTCTTCCCATTGCTGTATTTCACTCTTAAGTCCTATTCTATGCTAACTCTCCGGGGTTGCCTCACCAACTTGAAGTTTTGTAATGTCAACAGGAACAAAGCATGCAAAACTAAATGAACCTATGGTTTATTGGTTCTTTTTCATATCATGATTATTTCTCATTCATTCCATCAGACATTCTAAGACATACTGCAGGGACCTGCCCTTCCCCACACTTTTCCAACAAACATTAACAAAACAGAATAAGAACACCAACATTAACACAACTTGATGACTTCTGGGATGTTATATATAGCATTATTAAGGCATATGCTTGTTTAAAAGAAGAACACAATCTGGGTTTTATTTTGTTTCTTTTAATGTAAGAGAGAAATTTGTAGGTGGATATAACTTAGCAATTTTAGAGTAATGTAATAAGCCATAATAATCTATTCTTGCAAGTTCTCATGTATAATTTATTGATATGGTCCATATGGCACTGGTCTCACAGAAATCAGATTTATCTTTTCCTTAGACACAAACCACATTAATTTAGGTAGTATTTAATCTCCAACAATCAAAAGAGAAATAAAAAGGAGAGAAAAGAAAGAAAAATCTATACTTTTCTATTCTTCGAAAACTTTAAGTAATGAAATGTACCATACATATAAAAGAGAATATAAAGGAGTATATGTAACATAAATGCGTACCATGTTTGTTCTTAAAAGATATGTAATTAATAAATATTTAACTTACTCTTTTATCATTTTCTAAGGACTTGAATTAACTGTGCCATCTATACTGTTGCCCTCAGGATACAGAGATTCTTAGGAAGAATTTGATGTGATTAGGGGTGGGGAGAAGTTCCCTAAAATATTTAGGTAAGATCAATATAGTTTATATAGTTTATTTTAATGTTCTTCCCAGTTGAATATAGCATAAGAAGCACTAAGAAAGAGGCGTATCCCTTTTATATAAACTTCATTAAAATAGCAGCATGTCCAAAGTCTTGGTCATCTAGAAAGTGTGAATTGAGAAGAAACTGTTAGGGATACCTATCTTTAAAAAATGTTTCTCATCATCTGTTATAGTGTCTGAAATCCTACCTTTGGAATTGCTTTGTTAGATCATAAAATCTTTTAGATATTCAAGAATCTCTCATTGAACTGATGACTCCATGAGGGATCATGTTTTATTTATTACTACCACAGTTTCTGGCACATGATATGTGTTCAAGAAAATGTCTACTGAATAAATGTTAAACAATAAACATTTAAAAGAACATAGGGAAGACTAATACTAAAACTGAAAGCTCAACTAACACTTGTTTGATAGATTGTCAAAAGTAATCAACCCATAACACCTGTAACTAAGCAGCATGACCACTTTATGCTATGTCACCCAGGCTCTTAGTACCTGCTTTTTTCCAATTCTTGTTGCACTTGATTATATTGTTGGGGGTAGAGAATTTGGACTTGAATTCAGAGATCAACAGAAAGAAGAGAGCCATTTTAAAGAGACTCTTACTCTCCAACTTAACATCATTTAATTCTTGTAATTATGATTGTAGTGCTTATGATGTACCAAGCTATGAATTAAAAGCCTGCTTACATTTTTTTGTGAGAGCATATATAAGCTTGTTGGAACTTTTATTATGATATGGTATTATCTATGATTCAGAAGTGAGACTCCCTAGTGTGAAATGTAATTCCATTTATATATTATTATTAGGAGAAAATTTCACTGTCTTATAGTGATCTGCTTTATGATATTTGTGGAGGGTGGAAACTTTATGACTATCACCCCCATCATCACGTTTATCCATTTGCATTACACTGTGGGTGCAATGGAGTCGATCACTCTCTTCAAACTATCAACCAAGTGTTATGTATGTGTTGCATAACTCTGAGAAGTTCAGAGGTTAAATGCTCTCAGCTGGTAAATAGCAGTGAGGTCTTCAGAGGGATCAACGATTTAAACCATTAATCTAGATGCCCTATCCCCACTAATAATCTTTCTCAAGTACAAAGTATTACCAAATCCTTTCCTAAGTTATGATTCACCTTTCTCTCTTTTGTATTTTTTCTTTTTCTCTCTTTTGATCATCTTTCTTTATTCCCTGTTTCACTCATTTTTTTCTTTGCTAACATCAATGCTCAAAATCAGAAAGGAGAACAAGAGAATGGATTGTGTGATATTGATGGCAGAAGAGAAGAGGGAAGAGATAAGGTACATCTTAATAATATTTTAATTTATATAATTTCTCTAATTCTCTTGTAACATAATGCAGGTTTGCAAAGTTTTGTACATGTATGTATATGCAAAAGTAAAAATAAAGTTATAATGTGAATACTGTGGAGAGGGAAGTGCAATTTCTTAGTCTGAAGACCTACATCAAAACAACAAAACAACTCTGCCCATGTTCCCAACTATCATCTTTTTTTGCTATAAAAAATCCTTTTATCTCTCTTTCCTCTGTCATGTGTGTGCTTGTCTGGCTGGCACAGAAATGACGTGGAGAGAGGATGTACAACGAAGGGTAAAATCCATTTTGTAAACATGTTCCTCATTCCATAATGGCATCCCTTTGGGTATTTATGGAAGATTTTCTCATTGTGTTTTATACAGGCATATGAATACAACTAATGTGGATTTCCCAATATTCGCCTTTTCTAGGTGGAATTGTTTAGCCCAGTAGACACAGTAAGAAAGCAAGCTTCCTGAAGACAAAAGGAGGATTCCCCGGTGTGGTTTTTATTAAAGGATGGAGAAAATCTTGCATATGGCTATGAGTCATTTTGAAAACCCTATATACATTTTAACGTTTATAAAAAACAAATGCCATGCATGTTTTTTTAAAAAATATGGAACATAAAAAATAAAAGACAAAAAATTATATCATAGTCACACTCTCAATATTTTCATATATCCCTTTCCTCAGGGTTTTTGTTGTTGTTGCTATTGCTTGCTTTGAACAGCTGCCGCCATATTCCCGCCCATCCCCCTTTTAAAGCAAGGTGATTTATGTAGAAAGTGAGTTCAATTAATAGGCTTTATTTTAGAAATGCTCTAAAAGAGAGACGGGCCTTTAGGGTAAAGCCAACCACGTTAACCGCCCTGTTTTGCCATGTGGGGTAAAGATTCCTTTAATGCGGATAAAGGCCTCCCTCATTGTAAAGACAGTTTCTAGATCAACTATTAAAGATGTATATGTTGGGGTTCAACATGTCTTCCAGAGCTGCTGGCAGCAGTTTCTTCCGTTGACATGGGCTGCAATGGTTGCTAAAACCTTCGTGTTAGAAGAAAGGGGTGGGGAACCGCCATTTGCTAAACCGGAACTGATTAAATCTCAGGGTTGAGACCATTCCCATTTTGCAAGAGTTTGCCAGGTGCACACTGTTCCTGCTTCTGGTGTCTACTCTTAAGAGCACAGAGTGGACGTTTGTCTGCCATTCCATTGGCAGTAGGATCTCTGCAGCTGCTGGTGAGCAAAGGGATAGAGTGAATCACTGGAGTGGGGGGTGCCGGGAACACACACTGATTGGAGAGGTCAGCGGCGAGCCAAACTCAATGGCCTGGTCTCACCAGGCCGAGCGCGGACCCTGCCGGCCTCCGTTATCTTCCGCTTGCTTCAGGTGCAGCGCGGATCCCTCCGCTGCAGTGTGCGCTCCCGGTAGCGCTGCGATCAGCTTTTCGGCAATACCCGGATGAAAGTGTAATGGCCGCCATCAGGGACTCGCAAGCAATGGGGACCACGACAGGTATTCCCTGTGAGCTGGACCGCCCCAACTGGTTATGATGCTGGAATTCTTAGAGGGCCACCCAGCGGGCAAAGGGCGAGTTTGTGGGGCGTCAGGGTTCCCCAAACATGCCCACGGACCCGCCTCTTATAATAGGAAGCGCCTGTTAAATAGTCCCGGCCATTCAGCGCTTCCGCCTAACTTGCCGCAAAGTTTTTCTAGAGAAGTCGGTGTTTTTTACCCAGCGCTTTTGCAGTCTGCTAGAGCTGACAGATCGCTTCTTAGCCCGAGCTTGCCTTACATCTGGGTTTCTTGAACTCCACTTTTCTCCACATCCAGGAGCTGGACAGTGTGCCTCCGCGTTCCCCGCGGGGCAGCCAAACCGCGGAGGAAGGGGCGGATCGGGCGCGGTGTTTGGGGAGAAGCGGGGCGCGCGGCGCTCGAAGCTCTCGGCGGGCTCCGCGGCTGGTGGAGACAGCATGGGCACCCCTCAGACTGCACCCCTCGCGCTATAGGTTCGCAGGCCCAACTCGACGGTGTCCCTCTTGCGGGCGCCGTCTATGGTTATTGGGGTCCATTTTTTTGCAGAGATGCCCAGATTCCTGGCGCGCGCGTTCTCTTCCAGAGTTGGCCAAAGGTGCTCTTCCCTGCAGACCCCAACCACACCCAGTGGCAGATGGATTTCTTTGTAACTGGCTTTCTCACATGTAGGGTCCATTTTGAGTCTGTGCTTAACATGGTGTCCTCATTGTCAAGTAGACAATCTCTTCATAGATGGCTGTGGTAATTTAAAAAATAGAAGGTGAATGTATATAAGGTAAAATGTTTTAACTCTTAAGTAGACCATTGAAACAGATGTAGCTTTAAAGTTCAGAATACAAGAGTTAAGGCTTAGTTTTCTTTTTAGATTTAAATTTGGGGGCATTTAGTGTTTGTGAGCTATTTTAGTGAAAACATTGTTGAATATGTTATGAAAAGTCTAAGAAACCCTAGAAAAATAAGATCAGTCTATATTTAAGGAATTCATAAGAATGTTGAACTTTGGTACGGTTGTCACAGTGGTGAAACATGAAGACACCCAACTACCTCTTGGTAGAAATTTTGTTAATTTGAGAGTCTATATGTTAGATCTAGAAATACAGATATTGTTGAATTGCCTTTTCTGCAGCAAGAGGTTTGATTTGAATGTACTCTAAGGTTAGTATTCTCAGGATGGATAGATAGAACCATTTGAATTGATTCAGTGAAATTTCCTAACATTTTCAGAATTTAACTGCAAATTTATAGGAATAGGTTCGTTATCTTTCGGCAAAACTGTGTTTTTCTGAAATTTATAAAGAGAGATACCACATTGAATTAACATTTTCAGGGTATTAGCATTTCATTGGGAAAGTAAACATAGTAGACGATGTTGATTTATGCTATAAAAATCATAAATAAGATCATCCCTAGACATAGAAACTTATTTTGCATATCCAAATGTTTCTTTATTGTTGCAATGAAAATAAGTGAAAAATAATAATTACTAATTAAAACATTTTATATATGGTTTTATAGAAGGATAAAAGGACAGCAACCATAATGAGCACCTACTATGTACATTGATAGTGTATAAACTTACAAATGTTTGCAATTTTTACCATTGTCACACTTCAAATTCTATTTTCTTCTCTCTGGTAATAGTATATTATGATCCCAGAAGTTTTATATCTTGAAACATTACAGAAGAGATGTACTTTAGCAAAAATCTATAATTTGACTTCAAAATATTCCTTAATATGTCCATTTAGTGTTTTTTTTTATTATTTACTTTTCTGTTTGTAGTTTTTGAAATTGTTCTCATGGAAGCATTATGTGTTTAATACAACTTTTTTTTTTTTTTTTTTTTAATGATACAAGACTTGAATCTTGCCCAGATTGCTTTGGGTATTCTACTAAAAGTTTTTTGGCAAAGCTGTCTAAGCAGAAGAAAAGGGCTTTAAGAAAGTCTTGAAATTTTTATTATCTGATCTCAGGTGTGTGGGCTGTGGGTATTTCAGTTCTGTATGGGGTATTGGTATCTAATGGTGAGCAATTTTCATGGGATGTTAGATACCACAACTGAGTATTAAGGGTTAGCATTGTGATATGGTAACTGGGTTGGAATCACATCCAGGTACTAGTTCTAGTTCTGTGACTTTGGGCAAGACTAATTTTCTCCATCTTGTATTAAATGAACATATCAAATTAGATTGCTTTTTTAAGCTTTTAGTTGTGACTTTTATAAATTTATGACATCATTGTGTATCAATGATATGTTGCATGCTTAAGTGCAGAGAGGTTTTTTTTCCCAATTACTGTATACATCTGAGTTGACTATGAAGGGTAATTTAATCAAGAGTTCAAGAACATTTTACTAACAGTTTTTGCAGTTAAAGTTTTAAAATGTTGGTCTTTATTTCCAGATATCATCTCTTCTTTTGATCACTGTTCCTGATTGTGACATTGTCCAAGCATTAAATTGTGTGCCTTTTGTTCCTTGAAGAAAGAGGTATGGTAAAGATTCAAGTACTGGAGTATATAGTTTATTAAGTAGTCAGTTAATACATTTTAATATTGGACTAAATAAAGTAAAATACAGGTAGAGCAACTCTAATCTGAAATCCAAAGTGTGAAACTTTTTTTAGTGCTGACATGATGCTCAAAGGAAATGCTCATTGTAGCATTTTGGATTTTGGATTTTTGGGTTTGGGATACACAATCCATATAATACAAATATTCCAAAATCCAGAAAAATTTGAAATCTGAAACACTTCTGGTTCCAAGCATTTTGAATAAGGGATACTCAAACTATAGTTCCATATATGTGAGTTTTCATAGGTTACAAGCTATAGTTTTATTTTTGGCCAAAGTAAAATAAAATAAAATATTTATACATAGGTTTTCATTTTAATGTAAGCAAAAAAGTAATTTTTGGTTTCATAGTTGGTTATTTAACATTTTATTAGAAATCCAAAGATAATTTTAACTGTATTATCATTCTGAATATAGAAGAGGCATTTTAAGGGCTTCTGGGTAATAAACAGTGGAGATAAATATGGTAGGAAGGTGTTTCAAAGCTATATAAATGGCCAAAAGAGAGTCTGTTTTGGTCTAGCAAGTGTGAAGTAATGCACCTAAAGAAAAATTGTTTCTAAATTAAAAAAAGAGAAAAATTGTCTTAATATATATTTATATTATGATTAATAGCATCTACATTATGAGTCAGAAAAGAGATTTGGGAGTCACTATAGAGTTATGGTTTTTTTCCTGGAGATAATCTTCTGAATATCCTGGTATGCACAAAAAGAAGGAAAAAACATCTGTCATCAAATCTATGATATTATAAGGAAAGTTTTGGAAATGCAGGGGAAAATATTGTACTGTCATATAAAGCATGGTTTATCTGCCCTTGCAACACAGCGATCTCTTGCTATTTGTGTTGGGTAGGTCCTGGGGTCTTTGAAATCCCCAAATTCTTGGACACCACAATATCATATAATTTCCCTCACCAGATGCAGTAAGTATACACATCGCCATAACCCTAAATTAGCAATAAGATTATGTATGTAACTGCTAAAATAGCTGAAGTAGACTATACTACCTTACATTATTTCTCTAGTAATCATTATCATGTTCTTTCCTGAACTTTAGCAGCAGATGGCTTTGTTTTTTCAGGGCCATTTTTCACAGTGGCATGAATTTTAAATTTTGTTAGAAATTAATATGTGTTAGATAACTACATGAGTAGAGAGCAACAAAGCTGAGTTGAGATACCAGATTATCATTTATGTTGAGTAATTTCTCCTATATAAGATTTAATTGCCCTCTTACCATGAGAATCACATGGGTATATGTTATTCCTGAATAAGGTAGTGCTGAGGGCCAACAGTTTTCTATCTAGCTTGAGCATCTCAGGTCTGAAAACCTGAAATTCAAAATGCTCCAAAATCTGAAACTTTTGAATGCAGAGATGAAGCTCAAAGGAAATGGTCATTGAAGCATTTTGGATTTGGTGTGTTCAGATTTAGGATGTTCAGCCAGTAAGTATAATGCACATATTCCAAAATCCAAAAAGATTTTAATCTGAAACGCTTTTAGTCCCAAGCGTTTCAGATAAGGGGTACTCAACCTGTACTATGTTTGATCTGAACTATTCAGAAAAAGTAATACAATGAAGAATGAAAGCTTTAGATGTAATGAACAAGAGGCTGCCATGTGATGGCTGACCAAAATGATTTGATTATTCCATCTTGAAAAATTATGTCCAAAGTATGATTAAAAATCTAAAGTTGTGATCGGTATGACTGCATGAAACAAGTGTCAGAATATTGTAATGAGGATGCATGACTTGAAGCTTAGGAGAATTAAGTGGGCTTCACTGCGGTCTCATTTCATGAAGTGGTAATAGCCGAAAACAAATATTGGCTTTATAGAAAGTCATATAATTTCAGAATGTGGTAAAATCATCAATTCTTAATTAAAATTGTGTTGAAGAAGGTTGTGGCTGGTAGAAAACATACCATGTTTTTTTTTTTGTCAGTGCAATGTATCTTCATTTGAGCAACCAACCCTCTCTTATTTTGAGTGGTTAGTAAGCTGTTATAAACCAAGCCAGGTTATCCCTGTTACGAGAGTGATTGCCTTTTACTCAAGCAGAGCCTGTCAGAATCGTTTGGAATTGATGTGTGAACGCCAGGAGAAAGTTGCTCACTGTTCTCTGAAGTTGTTAATCTGGAAGGGTGCTAGTGACATTCTTACCCACGTGTGTGAGAAACCCGTCTGTAGTAGGAACAAGTACAGCCATATGGAAATGAGAGATGGATGGCAGTATTTCCAGTTTCAGTCTCAGGGAACATGGTAAAGCGGTACCTATGGTTTGTGTTTGATTCTGAGTGAGCTACCTTGGTGTCTTCTTCAGCCCCTTGAGCCAAAATTCTTTGTATAGATTGGTTTGAATTGCATTGCAGCAGAAAGTGTTTTGATAAATATATGACCCTTGTGAATTTAAGGTCAAAGCTTTAAGTTGATCATTCACATCATTCTATAATTTGCCACTTTCCTTCACTTTATAAAAGGTGTCCTTTATTTATTCATCATTCATACATGCATTCAGTCCTTCCTTCAGTTAACCTACAAACATTTATTATGAACATTTATTACATACAAGTATGTGCAACTACCTAGATAGTAAAGGATTACGTGTACTAGACTGAGATGGTGGACTTTATCTGATAAAGCACATTTTTATGTATTTAGGTTGCACAGGTCAACAAGCATGTATTGAAAATAATTAGTGCCGTGCTTAGCATTTTAGTAATATATAAGAATAAGAGGAGTTATTTGCCTTCAAAATACTCATAGTTTAGTTAAGGAATCCAGATTAATGTGCAGGAAATACAACACAAAAAGCAGATAAATAATTGCACAATTGTATTTTAAATTCGGATAGGAGGAAATTAATGAGGGTGGGCCCATTTAGGAAGGTTTCTTGAAGGACATATAACTTCAAATGGGTTTTGACTTGAGTGAGGTTTTGATAGGCACAAAGAATAACTGAAGAAAGGGTGGAGTTGGAAATGATTATGGGCTGTTCCAGGATGGGGTGGACATTGGTTTGACTGTAACAATATGTGTTTTTTGGAAATGCAAGAGGGAGTGAGAAATAAGTTTGGCTATTTCAGGTAAATCCATGTATGAGGCATGTGGAAAGCCAAGCAGAAATTTGATTGTTTCTACTAAGATGGAGATTTCTTTGAATAAAATGTTTATTTTTTTAAAATATGATGCCATTTTTGTGATGCTAAAATATAAATTAAGTGTAATGAAATTGTGTAAAATTATTCATTGTGAAAAAAATCTTGTTATTTCCATCTGTCTTGAAGATTTGAAAAAATAGTGACTTGCAGTGCTGTTCTGTGTTTTATGTATATAATTACTTTACTTCTTCTTACCTTTCCCTTTTTGAGAGATCCCTTAGTAACAGGTAAAACCATACTCCACTCCCTAGAAACACAGTCCATTCGAAACTAATGTAGTAATAGATATAAAAACATTTAAAAAGAGATAAGGCGCTTGGTCAGTGGCTCCTACCTGTAATCTTAGCACTTGGGGAAGATCGCTTAAGGCCCAGAGTTTGAGGTCAGCCTGAGCATGAGCAACCCCGTCTCTACAAAAAATAGAAAAATTAGCCGGGCATGATAGTATGTGCTTATAGTCCCAGCTGCTCAGGGTGCTGAGGCAGAAGGATTGCTTGAGCCTAGAAGTCTGAGGTTGCAGTGAGCTATGATGATGCCACTGCATTCTAGCCCAAGCATCAGAGCAAGACCATGTCTCGAAAAAAAAAAAAAGATAAGGAACAAAATTAAAACAATGCTTTATTACTCATGAGATATTCATTTTTGGCTCCAGATACTAGGAATGATGTAGAGGTCAATGTTGTGTCATTGTCTCATTAAATGCTGTTGTTTCCTAGGTCTGTGCCTACCACCTTCTTTCCTAATAGCCTTTTATCTGACCCTCAGAGAGGGTAACAGTTGGGGTATTCCATTGTAGTAGGGCAAACCTTTTCTGTAAATGACTATGTTCCGTGTTTCCCCGAAAATAAGACCTACCCATAAAATAAGCCCTAGCAGGATTTCTAAGCATTTGTGCAATATAAGCCCTGTAAATAAGACCTAGTGATGGGCATGGCTACGTAGCATATCTGCACAACCCATGCATTTCGTTGTGTAGCCGTAAAGAAGATGAGCAGCCCTTCTCATCTGCCCCATTGTGACAGCTACTATCCCAGAGGTGACTGGAGAGGTGCGGGCAGCCCCACCAACAAGGTCAGCTCCCCCTGTCAGGTCCTGGCCATCCTGTGTGTGCTGCAAGCTGAGGCTTTGAGGTGTGTGACCCAAGGGGGAAGAAGGAAAGCTGTGGCTGCCAATTTTCTATGATGATGTTCCAGAAGAAGACGACTTAACTATATTTGAATAAATGTAGGTTGTTGTACTGTACTTAAAAAAAATAACACACCCCTTGAAAATAAGCCCAAGGGTGTCTTCTTGAAAAATAAATATAGGACCCTGTCTTATTTTCGGGGAAACACGGTAGTAAATATTTTAGGCTTTGTGGGCCATATGGTTTCTGTGGCAGCTGTCAGCTGCCATTGTAACAGTAAAGAAGCCATAGGCAATATGTAAATTAGTGGCTATATTCTAATGAAACTTAATTTACAAAAAGAGGCAGCAGGCCAGATTTGGCCCACGGGCTGTGTTTTCATTCTGTAAGCCCTTACCTTCACATCTGCCCACCTGCTAGCATCTGTATTTATCCTCCCCTCTGGTTACTATAGATGAATTATTTGCTTCTTTTTATGTTCAACTTTTCAACTTGTTCATTAGATCTGTCCCTTCTAACCTGAAAGGTATTGCTACTGCATTTCTTTCCTTTCTTCCTTCATCAGTTTTTTCATTTTTCCTGGATAATTTTCATAAGTATGCAATCATACTATAATTCCTCTCACCT